GCACGCAAGCAAAGCAAAACAAGGAATTCATTCACTCCTTCCCATCGGCAGGCAGGTGTTCAGCCATCTCCAGGAAGGCAGGGCTCCATCATGCCTAACGGTGACTTGGGAAGACAAACGCCATCACTCCGAACGTCCTCCCCTTCCTTCTTCTTCCCCCAGCTCTATTTGCTGAGCATGACGTCATATGGTGTGGGATATCCCTTGGGTCAGTTGGGGTCAGCTCTCCCGGCTGTGCCCCCTTCCAGCTTCTTGTGCCCCCCCAGCCTGCTCGCTGGTGGGGTGGGGTGAGGAGCAGAAAAGGCTTTGACTCAGTGTCAGCACTGCTCAGCAGTAACGAAAACATCCCTGCGTTATCAACACTGTTTCCAGCACAAATCCGAAACACAGCCCCCTACCAGCTACTGGGAAGAAAATTAACTCTACCCCAGCCAAAACCAGCAGACAGTCGCATGTTACCACCCATCAGCTGAGTGGCTGTGGCTGTCGGTGCCGCTGTGAGCAGCCCGGCTGCGCTGCGTGGCTGCCTGGGGGCTCGTGGCCCAGGGAACGAGACGCTGGCTTCACGTAGGGCACGTGCTCCTGGGAACTGGGCTCAGAGCTGCGCTGAGGGCACACGGTCCTTTCCGCTGCCTCTGCACCCATCCAGAGGGGTGAACGGACAGGAGGGAGGACGAGAGCATCTGAAACTGCTCCTGCTGCTCGCAGAGACGTGTGTCACCCTGTTTTATCAGCGTTGCTAGAGCTGTCTCAGAGCACTGGATCTTGTGCTATTTTACAGTTTGCTTAAATTGAATTTCTTGAGAGAAAATAAAGGCGGTGCTGCCCCAGTGATGAAACCGTTCCTGGGCCCAGGACAGCACTTTGCCTCTCGATAAATTCGTGAAACTGCAAGGGCGGCAAGACGGAGAGAGTCCTGCAGTCGGAACTGGTCTGACTTACCGGCCGTGGTCTCCGATTTCCTTGCCCGCTGCGATGAGGTCAGGGATCCTGCGTAGCCGTGTTCCCTCTGCGGGGAGCTGCGACGTGTGGGAGCCGAGGGTACAAGATCTCCGCTCCCTGCGTGGGTGGGGACTGAAGTGCATTTAGCAGCGCAGTGGCCGTTTCAAAGATGTCCTCAAAGGAACCTGCCTTTCCATTAGCACTTACGGCAACGGGCTCTTTTCCCTTCAAGAAACTTCAGCCTCTCATAAAACCCATTTCCAGCACTTAAGACCAGCGAGCGATTGTTTTGTGAGGCAAACTGCTTGGAGCTGCCTGGAAAGGAAAGGGGAGAGCAGCTGAATTCAAGTAAGAAAATAAAGCGAAGGGAGTTGGGATGAGAACGAGGAGCATGAACGCGACCTCGGAGAAGACGCATCTCACAAATATCTTCAGCCGTCACGGGCTGAGCAGAGAGCTGCCTCCAGGGAGTATTTCCTATTATTAAAAGCCCTGAGTCCTGGTTCCTGCCCCTAGCACCACATTTGCCTTTTTAAACTAAACAACCATGGGAAAAAGAATAGGAAATAATGACCACAACTCAGCTGTGCTCCCTGCAGCCTAGTGCCACTGGCTCCCACTCTGGTTTAGCACAGCTCTTCCGCCCAAGCGAAGCGTGTGCTTAAGTAAGCGCCGCTGAACTGGGGCCAAAATGGGGGAAATCGAGTCAGTCCTGTCTCCATCCACCCTGGAGGAGGTTCCCAGTCGCCGTGGGGTTTGTAGGAGCATAGGGAGAGCGTGGCCTTGTTTTCCTCTAGCTTCTGCGCTTTGAGGCTCGCGCTGAGCTTGAGGGGAGTTTTAGTCAAAACGAGTGGCAAAGGGCTGGAACCGTGCAAGGACGGCGAGGAACATGGAGTGCTGAGAAAAGCAAAGATCCAGGTTGCTACCGGACACAGAGAAGTTTTGAGGCTGGATCAGAACGGGGGCTAGAATTGGTGCTGCAGATGGAAGCATTTAAAATCAAAAAGCCAGGACGTGCTGTCCCTCCCCTTAGTCCCAGTTGTGGTGGCCATAGCGTAGTGCTTCCGTGATGGAGATGAAACCGTGGCACAGAAGGCCTCTTGCCAGGATCTGGACGTGTCCTCTGGGTCTCCCCTGCCCCGCGAGAGGGAGGGCTCTGCCCAAACTCCCTTTGAACAGTATTTCTTGTGTTAAAAGCACAAAGCGGTGCTCGGTGTGCCATAGTTTTGCCAGTGCCTGCTTGCCCTGCACGTGATGGCCATGCTCGGCACAGGGAAGCCCCCACGCTCGGTGGCCGGGCCAACGGTCTTCTCTGCCGAACCAGCTACCTCCCTGCAGCAAGGCCAGGTCGTTTTGTGGCACCCGGTGTCCCCAGAGCCTGCCTGACACCGGTGCCTTGCTCTGATGCAGCCATATTTGTCTATAACTAATATAATTCCCCTCAGTGCCGACCCTGTGCTGGGGCACCGTCCCCAGGCCATGGCAGAGGGCCCCTGCCACCCCACGTCACCTGGCAGGTCTGATCCGGCCGAGCTGGAAAGTGGTGGGAAAGCCCTTGAGGTGCAGGACCCCTGGTGCGGAGGTGGGTTTGGGCGGCTTTCACGGTTGCCCCAGGGGCTCTCACCCCTTCCCCAGCTCCCCTCTGCCGTTTCTCCCACAGGGACAAGTGGCAAGAACGTGAGCCCTGAGCCTGGGGCGGGCATCAGCGGGGTGGGGGCTTTGTTGTTGTCCCCGGGGAGCGACGGAGGCCCTGCACGTGCCGTGGGGCTGTCTGCCTGGCAGGTCTCTAGCACAGTGCGCGTGGCGTCACGCACAGATCTGTCCGTCCGAATCCTAAACCCTGCCAAACGGCGGGAAATGAACGTTCTGGGAATTCTCCATTGCCTGGGAGGCCCTCGGCAAATCCTGCTCCTCGTGGCAAGGTGGATGCGCCAGCAGGGCTGCCTGCAGCAGGGTCTGCGCCTGCCAGCTGGAGGGAGGAAAGGAGAGGAGAGGAGGTTGCTACAAGCTGGGTTTTCCATCCTGGTTTGTGGCAGGCCTCTGGGGCTGTTGGTCAGAGCTGCTGTCAGCAGCGCCTGGTTAGAGACGCGGGCAGAGATCGATGAAGGCGTGTGGCGCGGGGCCCCCCCCTGCTTCCTCCGAGCAGGGCGTCTGTGGTGTGAGGTGTGCCATATCCTGGGGGGGGGCATTTCACACCCCTGCCTGTTTGACCCTGAATGGCACCGTCGCTCTTGCAGGCAGTACGTGCGGGACGCAGTCGTGGGCAGCATGGGGCTGAAGCCAACGGGCAGGCTGTGCAGCGTCACCAAAGCCCGGGGGCTGCGGGCCTGCAGGTACGTCTGCTGGGGCGCCGGACGGGGGGCTCCCGAGGGGACGTGGGGTGGCAGGGACCCCAGTTCACCCGAGCGAGTGGCTCTGGTACGCAGACTTGGCTTTGCAGGGCTGGGCCGACAGTCCCTCCAGCTCAGGTGGAGAAGCAGAGGGTGTAGGGGAGATCTCCAGAAGCCCAGATAGGAAGCCAGCACCCACGTCTCCGAGGAGTCCCAGCCACACAGCCTCCTTGGGGGGGTCTTCCCACGCCGATAATCTGAGCATGTCCTAGTGCTGGGGAAGGACCTGCTGTGGGATGGCAGCTCTAGAGAGCCCCTTCCCCTCCAGCAGGACACGGCCACTGCCCTGCCCTGGTGCTGCTTGCCTTCAGTAGGGAAGCGTAGCCAGTGTTTCCAGCTCTGCAGCTGGAGGTACCCTGAGGTGATCTGGCATCCAGACACGCTCTGCACGTCCCTCGTGCTTCCTCGCTCAGGCTCACCGGGCCCAGCCCAGTTGCTTTTCTCATCCAGGCTGGCTGCAGAGCCAGCACAGCAGAGCCGGGGGCTCCGGGCCGTGGGGCAGAGCTCTGCTGACTCAGCTCTGATGCTGGGGAGTGAAGAGCGCGTCCCAGCTCTGAACTGGGACAGCAAAGCAGCTGGCGCTTTGGTGGCGTTGCAGCACTAGCCACAAAATCCCTCATGCAGGTGTATTCTGTGCCTTCCCTCGCCTGCTGGTGAGTCCCCTCGGCTTGTCTGGGCTCTCTCTGTCCCTTTGCAGTGCTGGGCCAGGGAGGGTGGGACAGGATCTGGGTCACTGTCCCCTCTCCCAGGGCAGCTCTGCTGCCTGTTCCTGCCTGGCAGGGGGAAACCGTGGTCCCTGTGTGTGTTTTCTAGAGGGAAGTTAAGAGACACTATTCTGGACTGGGAAGATTCCCTGCCCGACCGCGACCTCACGCTGGCGGACGAAGCCTGCAGGTACTGTGCTTGGGCTCTTCACGCCGTGGCGGCTGCTGATGCCTGCGGCTCGCGGCGCCCCGGGAGACTGCCGGGGCTCCCCGTCCTCTGCCAGCACCGCAGCGGTCCTCGAGCCAACCCTGCCTGGCTTTGTTGACCGTGTTTTGTGCCTCGCAGCCCTGAGGCTGTACCCACAGCACAGCAACGCCCAGCCCTCTCCCCAGAAAGTGACCGAGAGAAATCACTGCAAGTTCTGGCCACAGCTTTGCTTCCCGGCTGGGAAGCTTGTAGAGTCCACACTGGAGCAGGGTAGGAGAAGCAGCCTGCAAACAGCCACGGCTTTTTCTCTGCCCTGGATGTTTTGTCTCCTCCCTGCAGGAAAGCTGATCTCTCCGTCACCCTGGGGACCTCCCTGCAGATCAAACCCAGTGGCAACCTCCCGCTGATCACGAAGAAGAGAGGAGGGAAGCTGGTCATAGTCAACCTACAAGCAACCAAACACGTGAGTGAGAGCGTCCTCGCTGCTCTGCGCTCAGAGCACTTTGCTCTGCGCTGCTCCTTTCCCCTCGCGTCACCGTTTTCAGCCCCATCACAGTTTAGTCCCCGCACGTCGTCCCCTCCCAGGCGGCCAGATAGAAGAGTGGCCTCGCTTAGCAAGAAAACAGGCTGGGCTTCCCTCCTTGGAGGGTTTAAACCTGCAACTCCCCATAAACACCTAGAAATGGAAGGTAAATCTTCAGAGCAGAATAAAAACTCGGCCCAAAGCCTGATGTATCCTCCGGTGAATTACAGTCTGATTGAATAACTGCACACACGGAACCCACGCCACGGGGCAGAGGAGTTCAGTTCATGGTCAGCCCTGGTTTTGGTGCCCTAATTGTCCGAAGTCTTTCGAATAACCAGAGCTGGGGGGTTTCTGGGATGTCATTAGAGCTCCCTTGTCCCTGTCCCGCTCCGTCCTGGGCTCGCTAGCCTGGCTCTGCATCCACGTCCCCGTCTCTGGGCTGTGGCTCAAGGTGGAGCCTGCCTGCCCACACCCTGATAGAGCCCTATCAGCCTGCGGCGGAGCCGGGGAGCGGTGCCAGACGGGGTCAGGGTCTCAGTTCGTGTTCCACCAGGGACGATGTCTCAGGGACAGGAGCCCTGGAGCCCGCGTGCAGCCGAGCCGTCGCCCGGGCCCCGTGTCCCCACGCGCTCCCTGGGAGGGGACGTTTGTCCCCGCACGCTGTGTTCGTCCCCTAACGCCGTGCTTGCCCTCGCTCGCCCCAGGACAGACAGGCCGACCTGCGCATCCACGCCTACGTCGATGATGTCATGACGAAGCTGATGAAGCACTTGGGGCTGGAGGTCCCGGAGTGGACGGGGCCGGTGGTGGTGGAAAGCGCTGAGCTCACCAAGCCCGAACAGCTCTTCAAATTTGACCCCGGGGCTCGCGGGCTGCTGAAGGAGGAGCCTCTCTCGCGGCACAACGGCACCGGCGGGCTGTGCCCTGACCTTGGGACCACGCTGGTGGAGCGCCGTGACAGTCTGAGGCAGGAGGGTCCCAGCCCGGACACGGGGCCAACGACGGTGAAGAAGATGAAGGGGGAGCCTCTCCTCACCTGACCCAGGCTGCTCCCTGTCTGTCTAGACACTCGTCTGTGTCGCTTTTCCTACCGACGTTTTTTTATACCCTTAAACATTGTCCCTTTTTTTATGTAAGTATTAAATACACTTGAATCGCGTGTGTCCGGGCAGCTGCACCCACCGGCCCGGGAAGGGCGTTGCCTGCTTGCAACGGACCGAGCATCGAATTCCTTCTCTGCGAGGAGATGGTCCAGCGGACCTCGGAGGGGCGGAGGGACGAGGGTGCTGGGCGCCGGGGCAGCGACGCGGGGGGGGGATCATCGGGGGCGGTGGGGCCCGCG